AATTTCACCATATATCTGTGTATATTTGTTTGTATCTCTCAAGAATAAGAAGATAAAATGACTGCTGTGTCAGGCCAGAGACGCTGGCCTGGCAACCTGTGTGTGAACATCACTGACAGTGGATGCCTAAGGAGAAATAAAAGAAACAGGAAATATGTAGACTAAATCTGGCAAGCTGTTTTGGGATTTGGTAATTAGTAACTGAGGGATTTATGGTATCCAGACCACACTATCTGCTAGTAGTAGTGCTTAATGCTCTGTATCTGTAGTTTATCAGTATTTGCCAGTGCAAGGTCTTGGGAACTGCAACCAAATTTCAGCATAAACAAACCTTCAAACTTTGCGTCTTAGGGTGGTTTGTATTCATTATCACACCACTGTTGAGATACAGCTCCCTTGGTAGGAATGCTCGAATATCCTTCTGTCTGGGGCTCCCAGTTGTAACCAATAGTCTGACAAAGGCCCTCCACTACAGGAGGCTGACACATATTCAATGAATGCTGGACACCTGACCACCTCAGTCCTGGAGGTGAATACCAAATTCCTGTGGGCTTCAACAACTTCCCAGTGCAGTTAGTTTAAATAAATTCCCAGCTTTTTCTTTGCCATTATTAAAAAGTGACAACAAGTTCCTGTGCTCCTGTTGGAAATTTGTAAATTGACAGAATTGCACAGACTAGTAGGCTTTAAACAGGATAGTACTAACATTATGGCTCTATTTTTTTTAAAAAGAGACTTTCTCTGTAAAAGCTGCAGAGACATGATGCTGTTGCCCTGGCAGGTTGCCTCCTTTTAGGTGTTGCCTATTGTCTCAGGTCTTAGTTTGGTGGGACTGTTGGAGTCCGTTTGTGGTATTTGTTACTTCATTTAAATTTCAATCACTTTCTTTATGATTTATAAATAATATAGCAAGTATTTCCAGAAATTAGGGCTGATTTATTTTTTTTCTTTTCCAGCGTGAAAGAATCCACTAAGCAGGGAAAGTAATTTTTTTTTAATGCCAAAATCAACTTATCAGTGGTATCTTGAGGGATAATAGAGAAGAGCCTTAGGGATGAAAACATCACTGTGGAATTCTCTTTGTGTGCTCCCTCCAATGTTCCGTTCCTAACCCAGCTCAGTCATTGATCTGAAAACTGAAGGTGTTCTATTGTAGGTACATCAACATGGTTGTTGAAGGATATGCCATCTTTTGTTTTGTTGTTTTTTTTTTTCCCCTCTGTGTCCACAGGTGTAAAAAATGAGCTTTTCACCTTGCTTTGTGTATTGGTATGCACATGTACTCATAAAGCCCAGAGAAATACAATATTAAAAATCACATCTCTACCTGTGTATTCAGTAGAATGCCGGGGGAATAAAGATGTTTTATTTATCATGTGCTTGGTGGGATGGGGTTCGAAGTGCTGAACTCTGAAAGCCTTCATCTCATTTAAGGTTTAGCAACATAATGTGTTTAGAGAAAACTTTGCTAATGGCATATGAGAAACGGCAGGGACTGGCTGGTAGTTCAGAGCTGTCAGGCCGTGTGGAGGTTTTGGAGTGAGCTGCTTTGCATAGGTTTTTGGGGCACTACAAAGAGCCTGTAGTGCTGGTTGGATTGAGACAAGCACCCTTGGCACCTAGGACACACCTGCGCTGTCTGGACATGGTTTGTGACTGCTCTGAGAGTAATGGGAGGCTTTTCTTCCAGTGGACAATCTTAACATTTGGTGGCCCTCACATTAGATATTACTCAAACATTTTTGACTCCTTAATAACTACAAATGCATTTCGATCTTCCAATTGCGGGCATCACGTGTATTTTGTCACCCAATATGCTGTTTTCCTACTTCCTACCTCTGTGGTATTTTAAGTATTTTATGAATTTGGTGCCCACAGCTGCAAACTCAGAGCCTGTTCAATGATTGAAGCATCAGGGGTTCAAACATCATTGGGCAGGATGGCTTCCAGTGCTGCTAACACTACATCCACTTGTTGCAACAGATGAGTATCCACATGTTGTAAATGGGGAAATGGAGGAAAAGGGACTTGCCAACATTGGCTGGAAAACCTGATATTCAGAGTCCCATGGCAGTGATTTTTCTTTTAATCTATATTTCCTTTCCCCCTCACTATTCCAATACACTTGCAATATTTTCAAAGCTTTAATTGAAGTTCTACCAAAAAATTATTCTTACAGCATACACTGGATTACATCCAAGGATGTAATGATATAGTAGAGTGATGAATTCCAAGTTATTCACCTTTTGCCTGGAATTTGCTTGTGAATTTGGGTAAAATGCTTGTCATTTGTTTACTCACTGTCTTGTCTGAAGGAGAAAACACCCGGTTTGTGTTTATAGGCTCATTGGGTTTGAGTCATCACTGTTTAACTCACCTTGCAGGCTGCTAATGCATTGAAATAATAAGGAGGTATGGTAAAAGGAATTTGCCACATGTCTCACAGGGAATGCAGTAATCGACTTTGTCCTACAAGATGCTGAGCTCTCCTTAGGAAGTGCTAACAGCACACTTATCTCCCCATACCTTGCGTGCACTCAGGAATGTGTTCTACCTAAAGCAAAGCATTGAGCTTGTTGATCTCATTTGAGTTTGTCTGCATAGGATTGTGTTGCTATCGGGGCCTTCTCACTGCTGATTTAATTAGGTCTCACAGCAAGGATGCTTTGATTAAAAAACACCTTTCAGCTATTTGGCTTGGAAACTGATAGCAAAAACCCATGTGATTCTGCATTGAGCCAAAAGTGCTTCTGCAAGGAAGGCTAGCAAATATAAATACTTAACAATTTTTGCATAACAACTTGAAACTAATAGATTTATGGTGATTTAAAAAACTTCTCATACTTATTCAAACTTAAACTGTGAAATTTAGCATCCTGACCAGATTAGCATTCCTAGAAATTCCTATAGTTTCAGAATCTCTTCTTCAAAGAACAGGTAGTGACTTTTCCTCAAAAGATTTCTCTGCCCTATTTTGAAGTGATGCTGGTGTGGGAGTCCCAATGATTTCTCCATCTGGAGCAGTGGAATTGAGTGTCATCTTTCACCTGTGTTACTTGTCCTGCATTAGTGACATTCCTTAGAACTTGTTGCAACTCTTGTGAGTTTTCCACATTGACTTTGGAGGTCTCTGGGTCTCAGTTAGCAGTTGTATTTTTCAAGAACTCTCACTGAAGTGCTTTTCTGTGCAAAACTGGGGTTGCCTGTTTGAGCAGGAAGCAGTGAGCTTCTGTACTGAGGAATGGAGTATCCTTCAAAATGGTAAATTTGATCCTGCTCTTGGTTTTGTTTATAGTTGTTTCCTTATCGCTTCCTCAGAGCAAGTGAAATTCCTTATTTTTCTGCTCATATCCCTGCCATAAATGTGAATGTTCATCCCTTTCTTTCCTACTCAATCTAACCAGCAACTTTGCTTTCTCTGTCTGCTTCTGGATTCTATGGTAGCTCTCAGTTACCCCATGATAAGATATTAATTTCTGTTCTCAAGGCACAGTCAAACTTGGCACAAGAACAAGTTGGCTGAAGTTCAGAAAAAGTAAGTATTCAGGTGGGAGGAAATGCAAGAGTGTCATCAGGCCAAGTTAAGCTCTGAATTTCAGCAGTTCGAAACCTGCTTAGTCTGGGAAATCTGCTGTGAGTTTTCAATGCCCAAATAATATCTCTTGAATGAAGGTGATCTAAACTAGGATGAGTGGGTTTTACTGTTGGTCCATCTGCTTATTTCAAAGTTTTCGTGATATTTACCTAGTGTTAGCCAAATTATTGCCTGAAGTACTTCTGTCATTTTTTTTTTTTAAATTCTGCTCTATTTATGGGTGTATTTAGCTCAGCATGGTTTACTGGTATAACTTCTTTTAGGACATAACAGGATATTTCCCCCATGAAAGCCAGTCAATTGGGAGACATCAAGTTCTACTTCTCCTCTGTAAAACATCACTGAAAAAAGCCTGTTTCCTACAACTCTGCCTGTTGAGTCTTCCAGTGAGGACCGGGTCATGTTTTGCTTGCCATTCTATAAATACATGATGCTAAAGCCCTGGCTCCCTTTCAAACCTGAAATTCAGGATCTGATCCATGAGCCTGATGGGCTTTTTCAGCAGGTGTGAGAGCAAGCAGGCTGCTGCAGGGAGTACCACAGGGCAGAGAGCAGCAGGTACCTCTGTACAGCTCTTCAGCCAGAGCTGCCCAGGGCTGCTCAAGTTGCTCCAAAAGTGTAAAATTCTTCAAGTTCTACAAAGATAAAGTTTCCATAGTGTTTTCCTGAATAATTATTCAAGAGTTGGTTCCTAAAGTAACACATTGTGTTTAACTGAACAGCTTTTTCTTGCTCTTTGAATTGTGTATAATACAATTCTTATGTATCATTATTGTAGCAGGATGTTCTTACAAATGTATCAGGACTTAAAACTGCTGTTGTGTTTCCATAGCAGTAGTGAACTTCCACTTAGAGTGACATGTTTAGTGGCTGAAGTGGAACCTCTGGATGTTTTGATCTTGTCTATTGTGTCTCCTTGACCACTGACAGCACTTTTGACTGGGATTAGAACTACCATTCCCATTTTATAGGTAGAGAAACTAAGAAACAGAATGGAAAAATGATTGCCCAACACTGCTCTCATTAGAAAAGAGATGGTGCTGTGGTCCCCTTTCTGTTCTTTCCTTCCACAGCTCTCCTTTCTTCTCACTCCCTGGAGCTTCACATCCTTGTTAGCTCCTGCTATGTTCTTTTATTCTGCCTTTGGTGATCCAGATGCTCTCTACCAAACATTAGTTACCAAATATCCTGTTGTGCAGTAGAAGGAGAAATAATAGACTGAGGTGATATACCCATGAGATGTTTCACCATCAGGGTAACAATGCAATGTGGAGTAAGTTGAGTTCAATTTGTATGCCTTGTGAGTAACATCCATATTAAAAATATCAGGGCTGGACATTCAGGGTCTTAAAAGGAGACAGGTGTGATTAATGCTTGCTGTGGTTTCCCTTTTTGTATCTTGCAGGACAGTTTTGCTGTGGATTCTTTGTGATCCTGATCCTGGGCAACTTCTGGTTCCTTGCTGTTCTATATCTGCTGTGGCTCTACCTCGACTGGGAAACACCATGTGCCGGAGGCAGACGGTCCCAATGGGTCAGAAGCTGGACTGTTTGGAAGTACTTTAGGGAATACTTTCCCATTCATGTGAGTAAGAGGTTTCTCACAGAACTGTAAACATTGGAACAGAGGCAGCTTGAATAGACATGAGCATGGACAACTGTCTAAGACTCATCTTTGGTAAAAATCTAATACTTACTCCAGGGTGAACTTAACTTCTTTTTAAAGCATGGGAAATCTAAGATATAATGACAAAAAGGGACAGGGCCCGGTTTTCTGCTTGGACTGTTGAGTCACAAGATAGTGCCTCAGCACAGTAAATGCTAGACATGATATCTTTAGACACATCTGTTTAAACTTCGTTCATCTGTAAAATGGGACAATAGTTTACAGTGCTCGGAAGAGATGAATTGTCATCGGTTGTGTCCTGTCAATGTGCAATCTCCATACTTGTTGTTTTGGAGGTAAGTATTATAATGTCCTCCACTGACTCTATTTTTCAGCTTATAAAAACTTCAGATCTGAACCCAAATCACAACTACTTACTTGGCTTTCACCCTCATGGGGTCCTGGTAGCTGGAGCCTTCGGAAACTTTTGCACCGGTCCAAGTTTCAAAAATTTATTTCCTGGGCTTACTCCATATCTTCATATCATGCCCATCTGGTTTGGCTGTCCCTTCTTCAGAGAATACGTAATGAGTGCTGGTAGGTAAAAGCAGAATGTCTCAGCTGTTCCTCCATATTGTAGCTTCTGCTTCAAATGTAGGGTCTGTTCCTCTACTTAGAAAGGTAAGTAATTTCACTTCAGAAGGATCAGTGTTGATGCTAAATTTAACCTGTATTTTATGATGAAATGTTGTGGCAAAACAATTTGGAAGGTTTTAGTAATAGTTTTGTTAAATTATACCACTGAGCTTTTTTTTTCCTTTCTGAAAAAAAATTGCTGGTTATCTCTTGAACTGTGAGGCAGCAGTACTGAGTACTCATTATATGCAAGAAGAGAAGGGCATAATAATTTATAACGTTATTTAGTCATGGAGTAGGCACTTGTGAAATAAATTCAGGCTAATCTCTTACCTGAGGGAGCTTAAAGTTTTACTCATTACAAATATCTTTCTAGTCAGATCTTAATTACTTGCTTCTGACTGAGGTCCCATATTGCAAATTTGTGTAATTTTAATTGAGATGTAAACTCTAAAAACAGGAACCTTTTTTCTCTGTTCCAAGCAGCACTTGTCATAAAGGGGTGATATTCATGACTGATACTGCAGCAATAAAAAATAAGCAATAAAGTTGGGGGAAGAGAAGAATGAGTCATGAAATCAGGACTAGCATTCCCCCACAGTGGTTTAATACAGGAGTTATTTTACTTAAATTCACTCAACTAGAGCATTTGAGTATGGTCTGATGCATAAGACTAGGTTTGGGAGATAGAGATGTAACTTTATTCCTGACTGTAACCCAGGTGGTGTGATCTAAATAAGCTGTTCAGCTGCTCCATTCGTAGAAACAGACCTAGGGTGTTGTTCAGATTAATTACATATCTACATATACATCAACATAGCAGAGAATGCCTTTCCAGGCAAATGTTATTTCTGAGGGGATTCTTTGAGGCTTGCAAAGTGAAGGATTGGCAGTGGTAGAATATGACAATTTTAAATACTGTCTTTTAAACCCTGTTAAACTTCCTAGGCTGGAAGTCAGCTTTACATGTTTTTGGCATCTTGACCCCCAGGAACAAATATTTACCTGCAGGATAAGAAACAACTGCAGTAAAAAGCATGCTAAAGAATAGTCAGCATTGGAGCTCAGTTTTCACGGGTATGCAGCTGATAAACCAGAGAGGACCTTTGGTGTAATACAGGTTATCAGTCAAGTCATGAAACACAAAATCTTCCATGTACTGAAAGCCACGCTCCTAGCACAGTTTCATTTCCCAGTGTTGTTCTGCCTGTCTCCAAAGCCTGCCAGGCTGGAGTTGTCATTGCAGAGCTGCGCTGTGAGCGAGCAGGGAGCAGTGCCTGCATGCAGGCTGACATCTCAGCCTCAGCAGTGGGACACATTTGTCCTGGGGAAAGACAGTGGCCCTTGCTTTCCTTTCCAGAGAAGATGCAAGCTGATGTGTGAACGAGCATCACTTGAATTATTTGTGAGTCTCAGGTCAGCTGCATTTTTCAGAGTAAAAGTGACTGTGAAGACCTATATCGCAAATGGAAGTAGCTTTTTACTGAGGTCTGAACTTGCTCCAGTAGCAAGCTATTCCTCTTGGTGGCCAGCTCTCAAAATGAGGTGACAGTCATTTTTCCTTTTTTATGAAATTTTTATAATCCGCATTGTAATGTCCCTGAGAGAAAAACACCCAAGCAAGTAACAGGACGTCCAAAAGAGTGCATTTTGATACCAGCTCTGTAAAACCAACTACAGCATCAATTAGACTTGATCTCTACATTGTTATTTGGATTATATTAATTCAGCACTGTATTTAAACATGGCTTCTGGGTAAATGGTACTACTATGAGCCTTTGAAGTAAAAATTAGGGTGCAGTGGAACTCTGGAAGGGTTAGGTGCATATCTGTTAGAAAGGGGATTTTTCAAAGCACCAAGTCCAGAGCAAGACCTAAATCATTGATAAAGGCTCATACAGCAGTGTGCCTCTGATTAGAAGTACCAGTGGGAGTACCACAAAAGCTTCATGTAGTCTGCTATTTTAGCCTAAATAGGTTGGTGAGTGCCAGGGCCTGGTTACTAGAGAATGAGCTGTTGCAATCACTGGGAACGGTACAAGTGAATCTTTCCTGGTGCTTCTAATGTTGTTGGGCCATTGCCTTAGAGCTGCTGCTTTATAGCTTTGAAAAGAATGAAGGGGATCAGCTTGGCACTGTAGCTCTGTTGAGTTAACAAGTCCTCTATTCATTCTTTTAACCCCTCTGTGCCTGTGTTTATATGCACCTGCTGTATGACTTTAGCTGCTGCCTCTCAGCAGTATCTGCTGCCATTCAACTCTGTTTCCAGGCACAGAGTCTCTCTGAGGGGGAGTTAACGTGGCAGAGGAGCACACTGGAGAACTCAAAACTCTTGCAGTAGTCAACAGCATTTAGCTCATGAGTGTGAATCAAAGGACTTGCCTAAGACCAAATTTGTTGCAGAGTTGAACTCTGTCCTGTGCTGTTATAATTTTGAAACACAATCTAGATATTTAAAAATATTTCTTAAATTCCATTGTACTTGCATATGAAGATCCAGTGGTCACTCTTAAAATGTTTTCTCCTGAAGGAATGGTTTCTGCATCCAAGGAGAGTGTCTCGTATGTGCTGAATAAGGAAGGCGGTGGCCATGCATCCGTCATTGTGATCGGAGGAGCAGAGGAATCTCTGAATGCACATCCTGGAAGTCTAACACTGAACATCCTCAAGAGGAAGGGCTTTATTAAAATGGCCCTGAAACATGGGTAGGTTTCCCATTTAGGCTGCTGTAGTAAGCATGCTTTGAATGCAGATTGATGCTTAAATATAGTTCATATTGTATAAACTTAGAGACTTTGAAACAGAGTTACTTGTCTAAGACCATGCAGATATCTGGCACAGGAGTGAGCCTGTCCACCTAGATCCTATCTGGGAGTGTTGAAAACTCCCTTTGAATTTCATAATTTGTCAACAGTAGGTGTTATTAGCATATCTTTTGTTTCATTTGTTTCTTGCACTAGCAAAGGGTAAGAATTATGAAACAATATTAGTAAACTGTGGCTGGTTTTGCTGAATAGAACAAACATTCTGTTGTCTGGTCTGTAAATTGAAGTTATATTAAGATAGACTTTTCTTATCAGTTTAAGCAAACGAACAAATTGAAAAGCCAGGCCCTGTTTTACTAAATCACTGAAAATTTGTGGTTGAGGAAGATCTGCTTACACCATTATTCTAAAGACTTCCCTTTGAAGATTGTTATTTGCAAAAGTAAGTTCCTGGGAATTTTTGGTGAAAAACTAGCTTACTTTTTATTATCAAGCAGCCATCAGTGTGTAAGTAAACAGAGATGGTATTATCTTTTGAGTGATTTACATAGTAGAAGCTATTGTGTTTGTTCTGGACTGGTCTAGATGGCTTGTATATTAGAAATATTGGAACCAATGACTTGTACCTGATAAGCTTTCTGAAAAGCTCCCAGGATTATATATTGACATGTGAAGCAATGAGAAAGAAATACTAGTCTTGAGAAATCTGTAACAGCTTTTTAAGCTATTAACTGGAAAAAGGTGGTCTACAAGAAGAGCTCTCTGTTTTCACACAGGATGATAAGGTCTGTTCTAGAAACTGTTCTGTGTCAAAATTCCAAGAGGGTTTCTTATACATATCACTGGGAGACTCATAAAGGATCTGTTTGCCAATAGAAAGTAACATTTTAGTCTAATTTGCACCCAGAAACGCCTCTTGTGTATTTGAATTAGAGCTTTAGCACCTAAATGAGTCTTTACTCAGTTTCTGCTCAGCTGCTGATTAATTCAGTGGGATCCTCAACACTCTCTGTAGCTTTTACTTGTTTTAACCATGAAGTTTAGAAGAATAGTTAGGTGCCCTCTTTTTTTTTTTTTTAGCATGTTGATAAATGTCTGGTCTGTCATATCACAAAGGTTGGTTGTTATCTCTCATCTAAATTGATTTGGATTGAGAAATCAGATACACCTGTGCCTGTCATGGCCTTGATTTCAAAAGCATCTCCAACACACAACAAGAAGATCGGGACACTTACAAAACACAGGAATGGCCGCTGTGGGACAATATGACTCTAACAGAGCTCTTGCCCAAAGATTCTGCATCCATTAATTGCTTCGGGTTTTAACATTTTGTTTCTAAAAAGTAACAAAATGTGAAGAAAGCTTCCAACTAATGTGGCAATGAAAGGGTAAGGGAGGCTTGCAGGACACAGATGAGAAGAGCCACCTGCCATCAGTGCCTGCACACATTCCTGATGCTCATGAACTGCAGCATCAAATACCAAGAGAGGAAGGGGCAATGCAGAAAGCTGTCCTCTCTGCCCCTGGCTCCTGTGCTGCCAGCACAGAGAAGCTGTGTTCCTCAGCTAGGAACTTGTCAAAAGTGGTCTGAATATGTCAGCAGAAGTCCTGCACTTCTGCAAAAGATATTGTGGTCCAAGGTAGTACAAATATCTGATATGAAGTGAAGAAATCTTAAAGACATGAAAGAAACAGCGAATCAGCTGACTTATCTTTAGTTTCATAATCATAAGTTACTTATTTCTCTGTCTCAGCCTCCTACATAGCATCTTGCAAAAGCCTTCACCAGATTAAAACAAATCCCACAGTGTCAGGGTACTATTGCACCACACGATATTCCTGTTTGTCTTAGTGCTGGAGTAAAAGGTGGAGTTTTTACATGGCCACAGTAAGTACCAGGCTTTATAATATTTCCTGTACAAGTGGCTGCTGATATGTGCTCCACTGGAGAAAGAAACTTTGAGCAGACACCAGTCAGAATAGTAGGTGGGAATGATAGTCTGTGTGAGTCCTCAGGCTAAAGAAGCTGTTGAAGCAGTTGTTTTTTTTCTGTACTGGTGGGTTTTGATTGTCCACAGTATTTTCCTGCCAGCTCTGTCCTTAGTGCATCCTCCATCCTCCTCAGGCATTCAGAGCCATGCAGAAATTCATCCTGACAATATTACAGCAATGCTGCTATTTTACAGGAAGGTTTTCCTCAAAGATAAAGTGGGCTGAATGGAGCTAAAATATAGAAACAGACTTAAGTAAAGCAAATAAAACATCTATGAATCCTTCAGAGACTGCTTAGGATTACTCTGCTCTTTTTTTCTCTAAACTCTGTAGAATATTTGATGAAACTAAGCATTATTCAAAAAGCATACTGCACTCAAGGTTTTCAATATAATAGTAGGTTTACCTGCTGCAGACAACTGCACTGATTCCATCTACCCAAGTAGTTTGTCCAGGAGTCAGTGCCTTTCCTCCCAGGCCAATTCATGAACTGAATGAGAATTCATTAGGCTGTACAAGAGCCAAAGCAAGTTCATGTAATTTCTGTGGGTAGGACTTGACCTCTTGTAATAATGGATTAAGGCTGGTGTTTTCGAAGAGGTCTGGAAGAAGCAGGATTTCACTGGGAATTGGACAGCAGAGGAGAACTTTGGCACTGCAGCCATGTCTGTGAGGATGTCTGGTTTTTATCATGGTTTTTAAGCTGAAATCAAGGGCATGCATTACGCCGGTCAAAAGACAAAGGCAAGCCAAGATCTGGTTTTGATGCCACCCAGCTGGGAGCATTATAAGGTTAGAAGTGAGGCTTCTTTGCTTCCCAATGGAGAAAATGAAGTGCAACAAGGGCGGACTTGCTGAAATAGAAGTGGATAAACTCGTACTTATGATATATGCAATTACTCACTTTTATGATTACAAACAGTCATAACAAGTTGCAATAGGTACCAACCAAACACTGCCAAAAGCTAGTTGCTAGTTGTATGCCTATCACTTTTTTTTTTTTTAAACACAAAGCACCTAAGGCATCCAAAAAGCAGCTGCACATCAGAAGAGTTGAATGCCTGTTGCTGATGAAATCTAAAGCTGCTGAAGCTTTCTGTGCTGGTTATTGTGCAACTGTTTCCACGCTGCTGATGTGAACTGCAGTGTGAGTGCAGGCTGATGTGGGGTTCTCAGTGCCCTCTTTGTTTTACAGGGCTCATCTGGTTCCGGTGTTTTCCTTTGGGGAAAATGAACTATTCAAACAAGTTGCAAACCCCAAAGGCTCGTGGCTCAGAAACATACAGGAGAAGATGCAAAAGATAATGGGCTTTGCTTTACCCCTATTTCATGCTAGAGGAATATTTCAATACAGTTTTGGCTTAATACCTTACAGGCAACCTATTCATACTGTTGGTAAGTTCCCTGTGCCTTTTCTAATGCTTTTGCAAATGTTTAGAAATTCATCAGTGCGCTGCTTTATAAATTTGTTATAATAGAAAAATTGATTATTGTGCATCTAAAACCAGTATGTGAGGTTAAAACTATATTTCTTTAATTGCTATCCTTCCCAGTTAAAAGGGGAGGTTTTCTTCTCCCTTTCCCCTTTCTGCCCTAGGCTATATCATACTCTTCATTCTCAGTTACTCACAGGCTTCTATCCTTAGCAATCCACAAAGAAACGCAAGGGTTGTCCAGTCCATACCAGAGGGATGCCACGGCTCTCCAGCTGTTGCTGTGGATTCTGGATGCTGCAGTTATTATGTTAGAAGCCCAGAACCTTCCTTTCTTAGCTCTGCAGAGAAGTAGCAGTTGGGTGATGCCACCACAGCAGTGCTCTGCAGCAAGGCTACTAGAAGGAACCTGTGTGGTCCTGACCTGGTGTTCATCAGGACAGAGGGAAAGATGGAGGAGGAAAGGGAGAGGGCACCTTGCAGCACCTCTGCCACAGCCCTTGGGCAGGCTGCCACTTAGATAGCTTTGCAGGTCTTTAGGGTGTTTCTTTCCCTTTTGTTTTTTTCCCCATGGAAAGATCCAGTCATGTTTAATTGTGAGTGTTCATGCCAAAACAGGCAGTTTGGAAGAGTGTTTTTCCCCAGAAGTTTTCATTACTGGTCATCTACTCTCACTGGAGTGAGGAACTGAATATATTTTTAATGGCTTTAACTAGTGGTATTGACAACCACACTTTAAAAAAAAAAGTGATGCTGGGCATTATGCAAAAGCAATACTTCTCTGTCTTTATACTTTTTGACAAATAATTTTTTGCCAGATTCTGACTAGAGTGAACTAATGAAGCCTTTTTCTAAAGAAAAGTAAATCAAGCTTTTCTGGTGTTCTACAAGGGACATTTAAGGTGGCTCTCCCTTTAATGGAAGGATGATTTGATTTTAGTACGAAGCAAATAAAAATGTTTAAGACAATAATGTAGCTCTTTTTATGTTAAATTTCATGCAGATCTGTGTTTGATCACTTCATGCTGTTAAATATTTTGAAAAGATTTAATTTTTAAAGCCCACATTGTTCACAGGTAGGCTAAAAATGTCACTTATTTTAAAGCCAGAGAGTTAAGAAAGCATTGGAATGAGATGTATTGGATGACCTAAAATGTATTTTCTGCAATTTTTCCTTTGGCTGATGATATTGAGACTGTTCTGAAGCTTAAGATGTCTTACTCTGAGTCAAATCATCATTGTAATATTTACTGCAAGTGCAGAGGTAGTCCCTGGCAAGAGCACAGGAGTGCTACAAATCAGCAAGACCAGAGTCTTGCAACAGAACTTGTAAGATCTGATGAAATCCTTTACCTTTATCTTTTCTCGTGTTTGAGAACTATCACAATGTCCTTGTGTCCTTGGAGGCGTGTGTGGGGTATTCTTGGTATGGCTCAACATGGCTTGGAAAGCATTGGCTCTGCTCCTGAGAGCTGCAGAGTCACAGTGAGCTCCACCTGAGCCAGGTTCACAGTTTTCAGAGTATCCTGAGTTGGAAGGGACCCACAAGGATCATCAGTTAGCTGTGTTGACAGCGTTTTACTCCTGGTTCAGAAGTCATGGATCTTAAAGCCATTCAGCTAAGCCAAGGTTTGTGCAGTCTGAGTGTTTTGGGCTTGATCAGTGAGGTACTTCTGTTTTTCCTGAAAATTATTACTGCTTTTCAGAAATAGAAACAACTCTCAAATATCAAATTAAGCAGGTTTCTTAAAGCTGCACATAAAATTAGGGAGATGAGTGTAGCTTCTAATTCCACAAGAAATCTCCACTCTTGGGAGAAGAGGCTGTTGCAGAAGGGCTTGGGGTTTGTTTGCTGTTTCCAGTCCTGCTTCTGGAAATCCTGTATTGTATGTATATTGATTTCATACCCCCTAAGGTATTGCTCAATCCAGGGCTGGGTTCCCAGTCCTATCCACGTAAAGTCTGAATTTCAGCACCACACAGGGCCTGAGAGCTGTTGGCAGCTGAAGCTGCAGCAGGAAAATGCAGATTCAGCCTCTTTGTGGTTCTGGCTCGGCTTCCCTATAGTTAACACCATCCAATTTGAAGTGGCAACATCTGTTGAAAGGGATTTTCAGGTGCCTTTGTAAAAGCTCCTGGGGGTGCTTTTAACTCTGCTTTTCTACAGATTTTCTTTGTAATCCAGGTTTGGGTCTGTTAAGGTCTTGGTGCCTCCAGTGCCAGAACAGCTGTCAAAATCTGCAGTGATTGAACAACGCAGGGAAGACTGAGATCATGGGAAGCTTCTCTTAGCACATCACGGGCTTTTTAACCATAGCTTTTTGTAGAGGAGGAGACTGCCCTCCAGACTTCCATGTTGCCTCTTGCTCTCGCTCTGATGGAGCAAGTAGCAGGCTTTGCAGTGCCTGGAGAACATTTTGGTTGCAATGACATTTGTGGGCAATGGATGGTTAGAGGGTCTGGGAGTTTACATGCTACCGTAGGCTGAGGTCACTGACAACATTTCTGGTGCAGTGATACCCATTCTGAAAAAAACTGGAAGGTAACTGTGTTTCCTTCAGTCCTGTTTTGTGACTGTGTGGTTGAGGGCACCACTGTTGTCTTAGGCATGTCCCACACACTGAATAGCTTTAGTATTCCCATCAGAACAGAAGACTGAGGAAGTACATTTTTTAAATACTATGTTGAACTTGTGGACAGCACATAACCCATGGGATTGTATCTTGAAGTGTAAACTACTCCTTCAAGTTAGAACTTAATCCCCTTCTCACTTGCTCTTTTGCTGCCAAACTGAAATGGTGGGGGTTTTAATTCATTTTACCTGAACTTCAGCAAAACCAAGTGAAAAACCAGACCCAGGACTCAGGTTTGTGAAAGGCAGGATCAGGCCCCACAGCAAGAGAATTGTGCTGTGATTCTGCCATCTCCCTGGGAGCTGTGTAGCATCTGTTACAAGAGGGACAGCAATTCTAATTTCAAAGGGATGTCAATGAAGCTAATGCTGCTGTTGTGTTTGATTTGCAGTGGGAAGCCCCATCCCTGTGAAACGGAACTTGAACCCCACCACTGAAGAGATTGATGAGCTACATGCATTGTATCTACAGAAACTAAGGCAATTGTTTGAAGAACACAAAAGAAATTATGGGATCCCTGAGCATAAATCTCTCATCTTCGAATAGCAAATTACAATTTGAAATTTCAAATCTCATGGAAAGAAACAGTATCTGCTGAAAGATATCTTTGTTGCAATCCATATTTTGCAATCTGTAATTATCCTTATGCAAGGAATACTTTTAAGAAGGGATTATTAGATGATTTATTGATTTTAATCTTACTCTTGGGTGGGGGGGAAATCTTTGGGATATAAGCCTCGAAGCCAGTGCTGTTTTGAGTTGTCCTTTTAGGTTTATCTGTACCAGAAATGCAAGTGAGACACCCCACACAGATGTTCTTACCACCATGGTACCTACCCATAGCTTGAGCACAGGAAATCACCCCAGCATGAGATCATGAGCAGGAAAAGTATAAACCCAAGAATTCTTTGATTAGAAGTTAAGAGACTTTCCAGCATTTATCAAACGTGGCATCAGGTTGTTCTCTGAATCTCAGAAACCCCTGTTGCTCTTCCACAGAAATGAAGGTGTGTGTTTTCAGCAGATGGGTATTGTAAACCATTTACATGAGAATTCAAGAATAAATAGGAGCTTTCAGCCCTGAATAGGATATTGGCAAAAGTGGTTTGTCTGAGTTATGAAGCAAAGCAAACCTTCTGTTTGGAGGAGAACAGTGTGCATCTGTGTGCTGGGTGGTGGGAAGCACTGAATGATGTGACTTTTTGGGACAATCTGTGTTTCAAATTATCAGTTTGATAGTTCCAGCTTCAGAGGAGATGGCAGGCACAGGACAGGAGAAGTGAGGGAATCATGTGAACTTTACACCTTGTGCAAAGTAAAAATAATCGTATGTCAAGCACTTGCACAGAAGGAAGGGGAGCCCGGTTTGCTCAGTCTGGTTCTGAATCTTCACCAAGGAAAGTGTACTTGATAATGCCTTTTTCTTCCGCACTGACAGATGTGGGGAAGTATGTGTAAAGCTGCACTGCATTGTGACACAGCTGCAATGCCAAGGCAGTGTGAGCACAGCTGTAGGGTGCAGCAGGTTAAGAGGAGGCTTTGTATATAAACCAGGTGCCTAAAGTTGTATCCTAAATGTGGATATCCATTTCAGAAAAAAGGAAAAAAAATCCGAGCCAAACTGTTTTTCAGTTAAAATGCCTAGGTCTTGGAGATTACGGTGTGTGGAGAGAATTGTAGTATATTACTGAATTTTTTTATTAGATAAATTCTTGTATTTGTACATGCTTTCTATCTGCATGTGGACTTTGCAGATCTGATATTTCTGAACAGTTTGTTTTGCTTTAAGCAGTTTTGGTGCCTGAATATTACATCGAGTAGGTGCTCTGGCAAGTTGTGCACAGGGTTGTCAGGCAGCCTGGGGCATCTGCAGATGCTTCAGTTCAGCACTGAGATGCTCCAGGAATAGCAGGACTGGGCACATTGTGTGCTTGCTGGGCTGGAGGCTTCTTAGAAGAAACACAGTTTGGACTTTGGGAACAAGGTAGAACTCTGTAAAGAAAATATCTTAGCAAGATGAAGGTGTTTAAAGAAAAGAGTGGGAAGATCTCAACTCTTACAGAGTGAACTCCTAATGAACCAAAGCTCCAAAGCCAAACAAATATTTGCCAGACAGAGCAGATGTATGTATTCCAAAAACCCCCCAGCAACAAGTTGGTTTCCTTAGGAGGGCTCTTCCTTTTAGTGTATGGATGTAGGCAACAATGCGCCAGTGAATCCTGCTCTCATTTTTTCTTGGACAATAGAGTCTTTCTGGGAACCAGGGCTGGAATTTGCACTGCCTGAAGAAGCCCCTCTTCCCTGACAGACTGCCATAAATGTGCCCATAATTCACCCTACTTGAGCTTTCTTGCTGCCATGTGTGTTTGCCCTCCCTCCCATGCCTTTGCTGCCTGATGATCACTGTGGTGTAGGCATCTTACTTCCTCACTCTCTGTCCATCTTTCCCTGGGTTGAGATCTCTGGACTGTCTGTGCATGCAAAATATTGAGTGGTGTCTTCTCATTCAGCAGAAATGGGTTTTAGGAGCAGGGTTTGAGGAGAGGAAGCACTGTGACTGCACAGGTTTGACAGGAGTTTAGGATCAGGATTGTTTCAGCACTTGGAAGGGTGTGTTTCTAGGGAGGTCAAACACAGCAGGTTTTTTCCTGGGCAGAGGTCTGTAGGGTCCTAAGCATTGTACTAAGTGATGAGCCCTGAGCAGTCATTTTTCCTTAACCACCTGTGTGAAATTTCCTTTGGATGTGTTTCTTTGCTGCCTGCCCTGATGAGTAGTGCTGATTATTCATGAAAGAAGAATTTGAAGTCCATGTCAGACTGTTCTCTCCTAGATCATCTGCTCTAATGAGATATTTCCTCTCATTCTCTGTTCGTTCTTTTTCCACTACCTTATGATATAGAAGCTCAGGCTCTATGTAAATTTAAAAACATTAATGTTGAGGTTGGGAAGTAACAATGGATTTTTGTTGATCAAATTAACCAAAACCTCTAGGGAATATGATTTATTTATTATTATTATTATACGGATTTGGGGGCAATATCTGGTCCAGAGAGTACCTTAAAAACAGGCTCACCTGTGAATTCCATGAGAAGATTATCTGTGGGCTCTGAGTACCATCCATAACTGGCATAGGTAGAACAAGTAGGGATTGTGTTACTATGACTACTGATATTGTCATTGCTTTGTAACACAGGGAGATGGAAAAAAGAGAAAAAGGAAAACAAGATCTCCAAGCTACTTAAATGTTTATTGTTGCTCAATAACTGCTGCCTATAGTTTATAATGGTCCTTTCAAACTACCTTTTATTAACCAGTTGTCTATAGGACTACTTCAAAATAGAATTTCCATCTCTAAACCTGGTAGACATGGCATAATCTAAAAATTTTACCTCTGTGTTAGTGTGTGGATTTGTAAAGCAGACTCACAATACTGAGATTAAAGGCCAGTCCTGGAAGCCAGAGACTCATTTTGGCCAGTGAAGGCACCAATCCCACCACTGCTGCAGCCACGAGGAGGCTGCCCATGTTTGTTGGAGTAACACATTCTGCAGTTGCAGTTCATGCTGGACGAAGCAAGAGCCAGTAGGAACGGTGACACCCCCTCCCCAGCTGTGACTAGAACTGGGTAGTGCTTAGATTTCTGATGGGATGACCACACTGACTGCGGTCTGCTTTGTGGTCTGTTTCTCTTTGTGCCTTTTAATGCCATAGGTAATCCCAGGGAAGGGATTTTAATGCCACAGGTAATCCCATTGACAGAGAAGCTCTGCCTCTATACCATGCAAACGCTGCTTCCCCAACGTGCTCAGGATAACAGTACCTGCCTGTTCCCTCGTGTGTGAACTTCTCTATGCCAAATTTTTTTTACAGAAAGTCAGTCCTCAAGTATTTTTACTTTGTGAACTACAAAGCATATTTTACACTTTGTAACTTTTTATGGTACCTGTAAAATATGAACATCAATTGTTTCAGTGATAGCTGTGGCAAGATGTGAGATAATAAAGGTTTGTATCAAAGTAGGCTTGTGTTGACTGAAATTCAGATATGTACCACTGCTCCTCAGGGGGTCATATGTGCTCATAACATTCTGAGAAATCGGGGGGCGGGGAGGGTGGATGGATTGCTTGCTGCAGTCTCCCGAAGGGTCACTGGAAACCAGGTTCCTGCTGGGGTTCCAAAGGATCTGAGGAACAAGTGACCCACAGCAGGGAAGGGCTGGGCTGCAGCAGCCCACAACCAGGAGCTCAATGCCAAGGGGGCAAAACAGGGAAGCTGGAGCACGGGAGGGTGGGCAATCCCTTGAAGAGCTGGTGAAATAATAGTTTTTAGAGTTGAATTCAACTTCAGTTTAAAGACAAGTTTGAATTTTACATGAAACTTGCATCAAGGAGTCCAAGTCTTAGTAACTGTACCCTAGAAAGAAGAACAAACCCTGCAGAAGCTCTGTTTAACTCTAGGAACTGGAGAACTAAATAGCTGTTTGGAGTAAAAAATGTGTCGCATTTGTCTTTTGGGAAGAGGAAAAACACTCACAACAGTGATGTACTTAATTTTTGGGGTTTTTTAAGTAGGGCAATGTTACACAGCACTAACAGCTGCAGTGACAAGTGTGAATTCCAAAGCCTAGGAAAGGCTAATTGTATTTTGTTACCATTTTAATACTTTCTTTGTGCAATGATCCCACCTTGCATCTCAGTATACTATAAAGAGGAAAAATGGATAAAAAGTGGCCTTGGATTGCTTTGAAGTAGTCCCATTATGTGTGTGCATATGTAAATTGGAGGTGTGGTATGGTTCATCAATGGATCAAGATCACACCCTGTTTTTGCTGAAATACTAGAAAGAAGCATGTTATACCTGTAAAGCAAGAAATGGAGAAAAACAAGGAATGGAGAGGAACTGGACATTCATGCTTCTCAAGGTGCTGCAGCAACACAAATCCTGATCACAACTGCTTGTGACAGGTAAGTGATATAGTGATATTAAGATGTTTTTTCAGCTGATGTTTCTTGAGGGTGGTATCAGTTTCATGTCAGCTGAACTGCTGGAGCAGTGCCTATAGTGCAGATCCCAGAAGAGCCTTGTTTTTTTCCAGTTTAACAAACAGAAAAGAGCTGCAGAAAAGGAAGACGACAAGAGAGAGGAAATTAATTTACTTAATGTAGTCATATGCTGGAGAAATATATCCATCTAAAAAAGGAGCTAAAAGAGGGTGAAGAACCATATCCTTTTTGGTTGCCTTCCATACAATAAGTTTCACAAATAGTGCAAGCTTGGGAAAAGCCTTTTCCGGTGCAAAGACAGAGAGCTTCCCTTAAAGCATGCATCAAGAGAGACTTGTTACCCAGTTGGGCAGGCATCTAACCTGGATCCTTTTCTGTCTTGGGCAGTAGTAACAATTACAACTGTTAGCCAAGGGGTGTCTTCTGTTTGTGCAATTTATTTTCAGTTAAATATCCTTCTGGCATGAATGGAGCCACATTGCTTTTGGAATGGCTATGCTGAAATTTAATGAACAGACCAGGAACCCGGCACGTTGGCTGGGAGCTTTTTTTTTGGCTAACATGAGTCAATAGTGGTCTCTTCTTTCCCTTCTGCAGTCAGCAAGCAGTATTTAATCACAGAGAATAAGTGTGTTGAGTGGAAAATTCTCATTCTCCCTATTTGCAGAGCACAGATTGTCCTCTAGAGACACGAACTACAGTGTTTTCCTGAGGAAATTGCTTAGGACTAATGCTTACATGTAACAATATGGATATCTATGTGCTTTAAAATGCGCTAGAAGTCCACGTTAAAACAGAAGCCAGGTGGTTTATTTGTTGCTAAAATTTGTTCCGTTTCTCGTTTCGGTGGCAGTTTCTGTAAGTGACGCAGCATTGTCTTTTTAAGTTTCGGAAAGGCAGGGAGCGCTGGGCCGGGATGAGCCGTGCGGGCTCAGGAGCCCCCTCGCCGCCAGGTGACGTCCGCGGCGCGTTGCGGGAGCGGCTCCGCACCCTCCGGGCGCGGGACCGGGATGCTGGGAGGAACCAGCAACCGGTCCTCATCTCCAGGGACAGGAGAGGGTGGGATGCCCTTGAAATTCTGTCCCTGGACGATTTAGGCATGTGCTCTCTCACGCTTCTAGAGCGGGAGGGATGGAAGCGTTCCCTGCACGCCGCACGTGTGCGCTCCGCGGTGCCGTGACTCCCTGTTCTACTCGCTTCCAGAGCAGGAAGCCAGCGCAGGTGGGATGAGGCAACAGCGGAGGAGATGAGTTTGTCTTACTTCTCCTGCCTCCGGGAGCTGTGGGGCTGGTGGTTTGCTCAAGCTCTATGGAGCTAAAACGCAGACTCTGCCTCCCGACTGCCCGGATTTGGCGTGTTTGTTTTCTGCTCTCAGGAAGGTGCTGCTGCTCGAATGCCTTCGTTCCCTGGCTGTTTTCCTTCCGGTTCAGTGTTTCACCTGAAAAAAACTCTACGTATGACTCTGTAGCTCGACATTTTAATTCCTGAAGCTGGGAGGAGGAAGGAAGGCACAGAAGAAGTAACACAACTGCTGCTACTCTGGAAGCTACTGAAATAGATCATTCCTTTTTGATCTTCAGCAAAAAGAAGAAAAGACCCTATGAAAAAATGTTTAATATTCTCAAATTGGAAGCCTGTTTACATTGTACCAGGGTTTATTTTTCAGTGTATTCCTCCTTTTGAGCGACTTTCCCTACCCCACTCTGCTCTTCTGTACTTGCCACGTTTCCCTGTGGATACTTTTGCCTTCCTCATTTGCAGTATCCTGTCCCACTGCTGTGTGAAGTGAGTGACTTCGCTAATGATTGGCCAAGATGTTTTGTCTGCCATCTCCTACGTAATCACAGGTAACCCCCCTCTTTGGATACCCACTGTCCTTGGGGATGAGCAGAGAGGAGTGGGGTGTCTGGGTACCTGAGCTGCTGCAGGTCTTGCCGTGGCAGCTGAGACGTCACTTCTGCTGCCTTCCCCATCTCCCTGATGGACGTCAGCACTCCTGAAGGAGAGCTGGTAGGACAAGATGCGTGTCCACATCTCAGCCTGGCATCTTGCCTCAAGCCTTTGTTGAAACTCAGGCTGGCAGCGACTGGCAGAGGCATGAGGAAGAGGCAGGTGTGGGCAGGAATGTCTCTGGCTGTTGCCAAGACTCAATGCACTCACCTGTGAGCATCATCCCAGGAGAGCATCGCTGTGGTGCTGCACATGGGGGTGCTGGCAGGCAGATTTTAAGGAAATCGGATTCAGCTTGAGGCTGCAAGTTTAATGTCTGTGCTCAGGCATTGAGGCTAATGGCTGAAGCATGCTGAGTGCAATATTAAACATTTCTAGACACTTGGTTCATCTTTTATTCTCTCATCTCTTTTGCTTGCAAAATCTAATATTTTAGAATACAAATGATTTAGATTTCTAATGTAAAAGAAGTATTGATGTGATTTATAATTAATTATACTCTTTTTAAAATAATGATTAAATTTTACTGCATCTGTAAGTCACATGGAATAAAAAGGGCTTTTAACAATATGGAAGTTTAGTGTCCCATGCCTTGAGTCTCAGCCAGTGATAGACAACCTTATCACATATTCTGTCATTATTACCTCCATCAATCAAAGTGTTATCAGCCGTGAACCAGAAAGAGATAAGTCTGTCATTTGATCGTAAAATCTGCTGGGGTGGAAAATATTTGCTTAACTGTAATATAATGCATGGGTGGAGGAAATTGGCATTATTACTGTAGCTGGGTTACCTGTTATGCTGTAGTCCTGGCTACCACTTACAAATCAAGATAACCCATATTTTTTAACACTTTAGAATAGGAAAAGCAGTGCTGGAAATTCTGAAATATTATGTCAATAATTTTTTGAATGAGCCATCTGAACACACTGTATTTGCACTCCTTCGGGGAATAAGCAGGCCCTATGTAAACACACACTGCTGCCAAAGGACATTTTACCTGAGTAATGACTGTAAATTAATCCTATTAGCTTGGACTCAAGTTGTGACGAGTAGAAGTTCCCAGGAAGTGCTCCACCTTTCCACCTTCTCCTGCCTGACAGATGATGTGCCTTTCAAACTGGACAGCTTTCTGTGACCTCTCGTTTGAAGGAAATGTGTTTTAGGACTTTGATATATAAATAGTGTCTAGTGGCTTGACTTCACCATGGCTCTTGTCTTGGTGTAAGGATATCTTTCTTTTGCGGATCTCTTCACTGGAATTTTTCATCTGAAGATGCAGAAGTGGGGCACGGGGTCAAAGCTGACAATTTTCTTTTGAAACGAGGGTGCAATACCCTCTTTATACCTGCCTGTTTTTCGTATGTAGCTTTTGTGTCCAACTCCTCCATCCTGACAGCAACCAGGGAACAGTGCGACAGGTTTCTGTTCCCAGCACGGGTCAGCATCTCCTCACTCCGAGTGACTGTGCCGCTCCTGAGGAGGTTTCCCAGCCTGTAACATCAAGTGCTCTCCGAACAGTAGCTGACAGCGCTAATCTGCATTACATAGGATTAAACAGGCGCAGTAATTAACTTGCATAAGCGCTTTAGCAACTTTTGGCCTTTGAATTGCAGTGTGTCCTGTATACTGTGGTGCAGAGTCTCCGTAAGCTGGGGGTCAGCACGGGGCGGGGAGGGGAGGGGGGACGGAAGTTGGGGAGAAGAAAAGAGAAGCTGAAATTCCAGCAGCCAACAGTGAGCTGGAGAGAGAAAGCACGGGGTCAAGCTGAAATAGCTGTCGTCATTCTTTTCAGGAGTCGAGGTGTGCTGAGTATCACACGTGTGTTGAAAAGGCAGTACGGGCACTGGTATCCACAGCTCTCACTGAATCTACTCAACTATGAAAGGAAGGGCTTCATTTCTAGTCCTATGTTAAGTGTTATTCCCAGGTGAGAAGTGAAGCTGTATCCAGGAATTTACTTCTTCAGTTTTATAGTGTTTAGTCATCACAAATCATACCTTCAACTAATTCTGAACTGCTGTGCTTGAAAGATTTGGTTCAAATGAGCAACCCTAAGCTGA